CAAGTCCCACTCCTGGCTCAATCCCAGTGCACGAGGCTTACTCCAACCCTTCATAGCATCAGGGTAGCAGAATTTCCAGGACCAGGCTCTTCATCAGGCAGAATATTGATTCTAGGGAGTCATGCCTGTCCCAGGCACACATTGTCTACATTAGGAATAATGAGTTTGTTTGTTGAAATGCAGACTCCAGGGCCCCATCTGGGAGCCAGTGAAAGAGGATTGCAAACCACAGTTGAAGAACCACATGAGTGTGGATCACTCCTGCAGTACATTCATGAGCCATAATATTTCATTTTAACTAAACTAAGCCTTAAAAAAGACCAATGTTTTTAAAAGATTCTTACAAAAAAACACTGTATTTTTTAGTGATAACGATGACAAGCATCAGTGACAAACAAGAAAGTGGCAAAACTGACACTTTTATTCCTAACACGAGCTTTTCCACAGATACATTGGAAAGTAAAAATGATAACCCCATTGAACTTATGAAAAGTCAGTCCCCCCAAATCTTAAAAAAATTTTTTGAAAGAGTAACTGAAATATGGACTTACATCTAACCAGCATCAATGCTGAATCTCACCGAAGTGTAGAGCAAATTTTGGGATATTAGCTACAGTCAGTATAAAGTCATCATGATTACCAAGGTTAAACAACCAGGACATTATAATTAGTCACCTTTTTTAGCAAGAGAAAGAAATATTGTTCTGATAATAAAGTAACTGGACAGTCTGGCATCGGGACAGGAACATGAGGGCAGCTTACTCTTAGAGGTGCTCCCAGAGAGCATTGTTCCTGCATGGGTGCGCAGGATGCAGAGAACCAGAGACTTCTCAAGTTCAGGGCAGCCATTACTGTTTGCTCTGCCCTGGTGATTCCCAAAGACCCCGCCCCACCCAATGTACAGCCTCACCCAAGCTGTGCACATCAGCTTTTGCATATGAATGGCCTGTCCTTTTGCCTAAAACAAAAGGCAGCTGGGTCAGAGAGCCCCAGAGGTTCCAAAAGAAGGCCCACTACCTGGCAGCAGCAGCGACCTTGCTTCACAGCTGGGCCTCGTCTGGGCACTTCCAAACCCCATACAAAGAGGAGGAATCTGCAGATGTCTCTGTAGCTTCTGCAGGGTGGCCCCAGACAGTGGCTGACCTTGCACCTCCTTGGAGATCCAAGAGCCAGTGTACCCAGTGGTCAGAGTGAGACCATAATGGATTACAACTCTTCACATCCATAAGAGACACACTCAAGGGGCAGACTCAGTGAGCACCAAAGCCCCACTGAAGCAAGTCCTGCCCCATAAGGATATCTCCTGCACAACAGATCTTCCAGTGTAGACACAGCTGGTCATCACAGCCAACTGGCCTGGAGGTCAATTCCTCCCAGTGATACCAACAGCAATCAAGGCTCAACTACAACAAGACTGTGCAAACAGCCCACAAAGGGGTGCACCAAGAGCGTCGACCTCAGGTGATTGGGGAGGCTGAGCCAGGGGGCCCTATGACACCTACCACACAAGGCCACTCTATCAACTCAAGGAGACTTAGCAGCTACCCAGTACATAGAAACAAACACAGGGAAGCAGCCAAAATGCGGAGACAAAGAAACATGTCACAAATGAAAGAAATGGATGAAAGAAAAATACTGGATATAGAGTTCAAAACCACGGTTATAAGGTTACTCAAGAATCTTCTAGAAACCTCTGAGAAATTTAGAGACCCTCAAAGATATGAAAAAGGACCAATCAGAAATTAAGCATACACTGATTGAAATAAAGAATAATATACAGAGATCCAACAGCAGACTAGAGGATCACAAGAATCAAGTCAAAGATTTGAAATATGAAGAAGAAAAAAACACCCAACCAGAAAAGCAAAAAGAATCCAAAAATACGAAGATAGTGTAAAGAGCCTCTGGGATAACTTCAAGCATACCAACATCCGAATTATAGGGGTGCCAGAAGAAGAGAGAGAGCAAGATGTTGAAAACCTATTTGAAGAAATAATGACAGAAAACTTCCCCTACCTGGTGAAAGAAATAGACTTACAAGTCCAGGAAGTGCAGAGAACCCAAAACAAGAGGAATCTAAAGAGGACCACACCAAGACACATCATAATTAAAATGCCAAGGGCAAAAGAGAAAGAGAGCATCTTAAAAGCAGCAAGAGAAAAACAGTTAGTTACCTGCAAGGGAGTACCCATACAACTGTCAGCTGATTTCTCAACAGAAACTATGCAGGCCAGAAAGTGATGAAATATACAAAGTGATGAATAGCAAGAACCTACAACCAAGATTACTCTACCCAGCAAAGCTATCATTCAGAATTGAAGGTCAGATAAAGAACTTCACAGACAAGAAAAAAACTAAAGGAGTTCATCACCACCAAACCAGTATAATATGAAATGCTGAAGGGTATTCTCTAAGAAGAGGAAGAAAAAGGTAAAGATAAAAATTATGAACAACAAAGTGACAACAAATATATATCTATCAATAAGCGAATCTAAAAATCAAGTGAATAAAAAATCTGAAGAACAGAATAAACTGGTAAATATAATAGAATCAGGGGCATAGAAAGGGAGTAGACTGACAGTTCTGGCGGGGAGGGGGCGGTGGAGGAAGAGATTGGACAAAAATCTTACACCTATGGATGAGGACAATGGGGGGCAGTAAGGGCATGGGGTGGGGTGGGAACCGGGTGGAGGAGAGCTATGGGGGGGAAAAAGAGGAACAACAGTAATAATCTGAACAATAAAGATTTATTAAAAAATAAATAGAAAAAGAACTTAAGTGGAAAAAAAAAAAAGGTCTCACCAGAATCTGTTTGCTGCAATTGCTCCCTAGTTCATTCTTTTTAGCTGTCATAACCTACAAATCTATAGCCAGGCTCTCTATTCTTTGCCAACGTGAGAGTACAAAGGGAAAGCTTGGGGAAGGAGAGCTTTCATTAGAGTTGGGGAAGACTCTCCTGTTTTCTTTCCCCAGCTCCTCCATTTGGTGGCTTTCTTACTTGCTGTTTGCATGCCTCATCCTTTGGCCACATACTTCCTTCACCTCTCAAGATCTCCTGGCTGTTTCTAAATAGGTCTTCCACTTTGCCTGATGGATACTCTTGATTTTTTTGAACTAAGCATCTATATAAATTTGAAAAGTAACCTCCAATATTTTCTTACCCAAGAATCCCTTTTATTATTTTCCATACAGTTTCCTTGTTTTAAAAGATTATGTATATTAACCTACTTGCAGGTCATATTTTTATTCCCAAATTTAAAAAATCGAAGATATAAATGACTAAAAATTAGACAGACTAGAGAAGGGTTGCCTCTACCCAAGGATGATGAATGCCGGTGGCACTATCTTTACATGGCGGAAAGGGAGTCAGGTGCAGTGTAACCCAGGGTTCTTCTGAGTGCTGGGACTTGACTATGTCTATAGATATCCAAAATTCTTTGTGCACCTTTTCTGACACTTGACCTCACTGTCTGATATTATTCACTTACTTGATACAGCAGGTCCTAGAATAATGTCACTTTGTTCCACATTATTTCATTATAATGTTGATAAGAAGAGGAAAAAACTGATTCCCAGCCAGGACCACTGTCTGTGTGGAAGTTGCACGTTCTCCCATGTCTGTATGGGTTTTTTTCAGGGCCTCAGTCTCCTCCAACATTCTAAACATGTGCAGGTTAAGTGAACTGGCGTTTCTAAAATGCCCCCGTCTAAGTGAGTGTGAGTGTGAATGGCCCTGTGATGGAAGGATGTCCTGTCCAGGGTGGGTCCTGCCTGGAGCCCTGAGCTGCCCAGATAGACTCTGGCCCTGCACCCTTGAACTGGAATGAACAAATACAACAATAATCACCTTACTTGTTTTCATTAATCATCCTTAAATATGTGTATAGCTCACATTTATTTCTGTGTTCAGTACTAGAAGTGTTTGGGTCTTTATTTAGAAGTTTGGTGATTTTTTTGTGTGACCAGAAATATGCTGTAGGAACTTAACTCTTCTTTTTATCAATGGTAATATTGGTTTCATTGCACATGTTTTACTAACGTCACAGTTTCTAAGAGCTTATAGACCTTAACCTTGGACTTATTGTATATATTTACCATGCAAATATGGGCCACAAAGGTTTTAAGCTGAGTACAAAACCTTAATTTACAAAGAAATTGAGGAGGCAAATGTATAAGGAGGCCCAAGATGAGGAAAGGTCATTTCTCTTGAACTCAATTCTAATTTTAATAAATCATCTCTTAGGATGTATTTACATAATGAATATTTCAAGCAAGTTTTATTTTATTTATTTTTTTACCCCGGACACCAAAATCATCTTTACAATAAAGCACATATGCTAAAAACTGTAAAGAAAGAGCCATGCAATCCAAATAGCGTAAAAACTGATTTGCATTAAAACATTTCCTTTAGCCCTAGCCCATGTGGCTCAGTGGTAGAGCATTGACCAGCACACCAAAGGGTCTCGGGTTCAATTCCCAGTCAAGGGTGCTACCTGAGTTGCAGGTTCATTCTCCAGCCTGGCAACCAATCAATGTGTCTCTCTCACATTGATGTTTCTCTCTCTCCCTCCTCCCTCCTTTCCACTCTCTAAAAATCAATGGGAACAATATCCTTGGGAGAGGATTAACAAAAAACAAACAAAAATTTTCCTTCAGGAATTAAATTTTGGGAACATTTTACTAAAAAGATAAAAAGGAATTACACCAAAATATGACCCTAAAATCACTGATAGGGTGTCAAGCATGAGAATTCAATAAATGTAACCAAGAATAAACTATTCAAGTCCAAATTGTGCCATTAACTTTTTTCATATAATAAGCATCCTTTATACAATATTTGCAAAACATAATCTTTTCCATTGACTTTTTGTGCAAAACTTCTACTGAAATTAGGATATCAAAAAAGCCAAATAAAATTTTGTCTTTACAGTCATTTCATCTGAGTGAGAAAAGTTACTTTTTTGTACTTATTTGGATCCATAAATGTCTATTTTACTTACCATTGGGAAGTGTGGGGAGAAAATAACTTATTCTCACTAATGGGAGTCGTTAACACTTGATGGTTTACAACATTTAAATACTTCTCAATGTGAATCTGTTACAGAAAAGTTAAAAGTTTAGGTCATTATAGTGGACTTAAGATACTCAGTTAATTTACTTCATTTCATTAGGTTAACACTCTGAATTGTGTAATTAAGCCAAAAGACACAACATGCTATGTGTTTATTACAAGTCTAAGGTATAATTAGGCACCTCAAGGCCAAATGACTTATCCCAAAAAGCACTGAGACTCAAAGCTTGAGTGACCTGTAGCACTCTTCACAAGTGAAACTATGCACAATAGTCAGTAAATTGCTTAGCCAGATAAATTTACTAGGCAATGCAGATATGGAGTAATGTTTTTTTCTTTCAGGACGTCAAGCAAGCACCGAGGAAAGAATTTGGCCTTCAGGTAACATTGAAAATGGCCAACCCAAAGACTCCAGCCGAGTCCAGCCCTCTCACCACCGGGCAAATAGGACAATGTGTGCTAGTCTGCTGAGGCTACAAAATCAAGCACACGTCTCACAGCCTCAGGAGCTGACAGATGAAGCTCAGAATATGGTAGCATGAAAGTCTGAGGCAAGAGCAAGGGTACTGACAGAGAGCTGGAAGATGGAGATGTGGTCCTTGTTTGGATCCATGGACTCCTACATTCTTGCTGTATTTTATTTTGTTTTTAGTTTTAAAGAAATTGAAATATAACGTTATATTCGTTTCAGGTGTATAACATAATGATTCGATATTTGCATATATTGTGAAATGATCCCCACAATAAGTCTGATTACAAATATTTTTCTTTTAAGATCTTTTAAGATGTAATCTCTTAGTAAGTTTCAAATATACAGTACAGTATTTTTAACTATAGTCATCTTGTTGAACATTAAATCCCCAGAAGTTGTTTTTTTATAACTGGAATTTGAACTTTTGACCACCTTTACCCATTTCACCCACCCCCACTTCCAGCAACCAGCAATCTGTTTTCTGTATCAGATGTTCTTGGGGGGTGGGGGTGAAGTGTTAGATTCCACATATAAGTCAGATTATACAGTATTAGTTTTTTTTTGGGGGGGGGGGCGGGGTCTGGCTTATTTCACTTAGCATAATGTCCTTGACGTCTATCCAAGCTGTCTCAAATGGAAAGATTTCTTTTTTATGGCTGAGTAATATTCCATTGTGTGTATGTATATATATATTTCTCTTTATCAATGAACAGTTAGGTTGCTATCATGTCTTGGCTATTGTAAATAACACTGCAGTGAATGTGGGGATGCAGATAGTTTTTAAGTTAGTGTTTTTGTTTCCCTTGGAGATACATCCTTGTTTGGCAATTGCATATTATTCTTGTCTGAAGATTGGATTCTCCCCGCCCTAAGACCTGTCTATAACAGTGATTTTCAGCCTGTCTGCGGCAATAACTTTTAAAACATGCACTATCTGACTATTTCGTCAGGGGCACTGACCTCTTTTCCCTGAGCTTGTCAAATTAAACAATGACAACAGTCAACACACCAATAGTCATTCTGTGTGAATGAATAAAAATGGTACCTTTTTGTGTCAGATTGGCAAAAAATATATTTTTGGCGTGCTGCAGAAATTTAGTTTATGTGTGGGCCATGAAATGAAAAAGATTGAAGATCACTGGTCTATAATTATGAAATCCTGATTTACTTTATTTCTGTTTCAAAATTGGTATATTTCTTTGGTTTTACCCATTAGATTACTATATTTTAAAAAATGTCTATTCTCAAAATACTTAAGCTATTAGGGAAAGTCAACTCTTATTTCTCGAGTGAATCTGATAGAAACTCTCTATGATGTCTTGGCATGAATCCCCTTTGGTCAGACATATTGTTTGGACTAATAGTGGTTATTTTTAAAATTCTTTTTTTCAAACCACATTTTAGAAGTTATCATTGCATAATCTGACATTATCAATACCTTAAATTCTTTGTGGGATGTGACAGGATGTGAACAATCAGTTAATCATCATTACCATTTAAAAAAGGGATGAGAACAAGCTGGTGATCACCCTAAACCCCTCTCTGTTATAGGATCTCACAGAGACTGTGAGAACCACAATTCTTCTCTTGAGGCATCTTCGTTTCCTCTGGTATTTTATTTAATATTGAAAGTTCTACTTACTCTTAACCCCATTTCAGTCCGTTTGATTGCTGTTTTAAGATTCTGAATGTCTAGGGTCTCTCCTTCTTCAGATGGGAAGTCGGCTAATTTCTCCTTTAATTGCTGAAGGTCATCATGGACCTGTAGGCGTAAAAATATGAACTAGTAAAAGTATACATACATAGTCCATCTAGAACATTGATTTTAAATGTTTGCAATTTGTGCTGTATTTGCTAGAGATAGTAAGGTTGATTTTACAGTGTTCATTGTAAAGGACTGTCTTATGGTTTTAAGACAGTTTTTGTTAGGATGTTCCATTATTGTCTTAGATTTTGAAAAACTAAGTTTTTATACAATTGTCTGTTTTCCCTTCCCCCCTTAGAAACAAATCCAAACTAAATCTGCAGCACAAATGGTTTCTGCTTTTTCAGTTGGTAAAGCAGTTGAATCAGGGACCATAAGAAGTTTATGCCAAACTCCGATTTCTACTCATTGGTTAAAAGGTAAGAAAAGAGAACGTTTTGTGGCTCAGTTGGTTGAGCATCATCTTGTGCACTGAAAGGTTGCTGGTTCGATTCCCAGTCAGGGAACATACCTGGGTTGGGGGTTTGATCCCCAGTTCTAGGGAGAGCTGTGTCTTTCAAAAGAGAATTGCAAATGTGTTGCCAGGGCCTGTGGGCTTTCCTGTCTAGCTGGGTCTTCCCACTAACTGTTCTGAAGAACCGGTTCTGTAGGACAGGTGTGAGGCCCTGACTTTGTTTTATGTGGTCAGAAATGAAAATGATCCATGAGGCAAAAGCTACATCTGTTACTACTTTAACATTTTCCTTCAATTTTTATTTTCCTTTGAAATGATGACTCTCTCTCCAATGTCACGCACCCTCAGAATAAAATGGGCATTGTGAAATTAGCACCAGATTCTCTGAATTCATATTAGAAATTAAACTTCAACAGATAAATACAGATGGCACCAATTATTATATGGGCTGCTGCCACAAGAAAAACATTTTGTTATGCAAATGTATGAACCCAACACCTGTCTCACCGATAGTCCCACCAATAACAATCTGCAGACTGGGTTGCTAAAGGCATTTTGAAACAGTTACCTTTCTCTGTTCATCTACCTGGACTTACTCATTGATCCAGCCTATGTCATCGATTACTCTTAGAATATTCCCACTGAGCCAAGTATTCAAAAGATCAGAATTTGCATCTTTTCACTGACGGCCATCACAGTCTGGCAGGCACATCTGGTCACTTGGTACTCTGCACAAACTGTCATGTACAGCCTTCAGGGCTCACAGATTGAATATCAACACGCCTACTGCTTGCTCGGAGGCTCTGAGGATGAAGATGTCCTTCTTGCACTTGTTTTGCGCACATTACTGCTGCAAGCTGATCTGCCACCTATTGCCTAAAGACATTTGGACAGTACCAAGAAGTGGTTCAAGGGCAAACCTCACTTCCAGACCCCTCTGAGTGCCTGAATTTCCTTCTTGTAGCTCTCATATGTGTGCCTTCATGTGTCATTCTGTAATTGTGCCTGGAAAGTGCTGGAGAGAGTGAAAACTGGCCTGGATTACTAGCAGGAAACTGAAGGTCTGACTTCTTCATCTGCCTTGTGTGGACAATTACTCTCTTCATAGAGTCGTGAGATATGTATAGGTCTGGTACATAGTAAGAATCAGTAAAAGGCAGATGAACGTAATTCCTTGTTCTCTCACTGGTCACATGATGTCCATGCACATCACCCACATTTTCTCTAGCTTCTTCACCAAGAAAAAAAAAAGAATGCTTCTACTTCACAGAATTGCTGAGTGAAAAGGAAGCAATGTGTGTAACAATGAGTGAATATGGGCTTTGGAAACAGACGTAAACTAGAATCTACTTCTTCCTTTACTAAACCGAGCTTGGCAAATTCACCTAGCTTTTTAGAGCCTTAGCGTTCTCATCTATAAAATGGAGGTAAATAACTACCTCTCAGAATAGTGTAAGAATAAGATGAGTTAGAGTGTGTCAAGTGCTTTGTGTAGGGCCAGCCACATAGGAGAGCACCGAACAAATGCTCCGTCTCCTCTCCTGTGAAACCTAGTGAAACTCCTTGCACACAACTGGCACCTAGTAAATGTTCACTGATTTGAACTGCTCTCTTAATCTTTCTCAAGAGCTTTCACTTTACCTTTCTTGCCAGATAGTTTCTTCTCCCCACTTAATGACCGCACATCTGTATAACTGCTTTAGAGACAAGTACTGTAGAAAATCTTTCACCACACTTGGGTAGGAAAAGAGATTAAGTTCTAAATCTCTGTTCTTTCTTCAAATAGATCCAATCTACCTTATTGAAATTTCACATGTCACCCATCATCTCTGTGATCATCAGACCCATTGCTTTCCATACATTTTTATTTATTTAATCCATTTTTTATCATTGATAGTATTATAGATAGCTCCCATCTTCCCATACATTTTGAAATCTACTTGGAGGAAATTATTATTTTGACAGTTTGGGGATAGGGCTGCTTAATAAGAAGGCCTTGAAATATTTAATGCAGGAAAGATTTGCTCTAGAATTTAAAAGAGCCGTGCAGCCAGACTCCACATTGTCAAAAGCAATCTATCTCATAATTACCATTTTACTCATCTCTGCTAAAGATAGAGTTAGGCGGAGTCATTCTCATCACATTTATGTTGTACGCTTCTGACAAACCAGACAGCAGGATTGGTAAGAAAGACAGAGATAATATCAAGGTCGATTAACTCCAATGTTTCCAAGGTTGGTGTTAACACACAACTGTTGCATTTTGGAAATAAGATTTCCAGCCTGGCCGGTCTGGCTCAGTGGTTGAGCATCGACCTATTAACCAGAAGATCATGGTTCAACTCCCAGTCAGGGCACATGCCTGGTTTGTGGGCTCGATCCCCAATAGGGGGCGTGCAGGAGTCAGCCCAACAATGATTCTCTCTCATCATTGATGTTTCTCTCCCTCTCTCCCTCTCCCTTCCTCTCTGAAATCAATAAAAATGTTTAAAAAAAAAGAAAAAGAAATACAATTTCCAAAACTAATTGAAAAAATAATTTAGATAGCAAGACTAGGTAATCCTTGTTGCACAAACATATGTTCAATATTTGGGCCAAGCAAGCATTTATAAAGGTATTTAAAAGGTACCACATTATTGTTAACAAAGCACACAAAGAGAGCTTCTAAGAGTTACTAGTGAAAGCAAGCATCTAGGAAGCTTCCCGGAGTTACCGCCACACTTTTTCAAGATAGTTTCACAAACGTGCCATCACCTGCGTAAGATTTATCGCTTGGGCAAGTTGCTTTATCTCATTGTACTTTAGTTTCTTCTACTGTATGTTGGGATAAAAATAACACCTTCCTAACAGAGTTATTGTTAGGACTGGAGAAAATCTAAAGCTCTCAGTACAGTGTCTGACTCTCAATAAATGTTGGCTACTATTTTAATTGTAAGGATGATTATTATGGCTATGATAAAAACCTCACTATTCTGATTAGTTGAGGAAAGATTCAGCTAAAATTGTAAACAGCCTGCATTTAGACTCAAAAGTGAAAAAATTTAGTTAAAATAAGCATTTTGAAGTGAAAGAATTTAGTTAACAAAATGCTTTCTAGTATAACTCTATGTGGAAATAATAATCATATTTTCTGAACCGGAAAGGAAAACATGGACTTTAATATATGATCTGACAATGGGATGGAATATTCACTAACAGGACTGTGCTGAAAAATCTAAACATCTAAGCACATGCTCACATAATAAGTCACATGGAGTTTATAATTAGGGCACTGATTAATTGTATTTAAAGCTCTTCTCTTAAGTATTTTAGATATTTTATCAAAATATTACTTTTACTATAAATTTGTACCATTATGTTTACTAAATAATAATCAATGTTAGTCCAGCTCCATTCTGCCGGGAACCAATTCCAACATGTCAGCAAGGGCTGAATCATCTGGAGTGGCAATGGCATTTCCCCAAACCTGAAAAGGATGCATTAAATTGCTTGCTTGCTGCCAGACAGCTCAGGGCATCTTAATCTACATATTATTGCCTCCTACTGGCCAAACACCTGAACAGCCGAAGGCAGTTTCTCCAAAACCTGATAATCTGACAATGGACTGTGTATAGAAAACTGACCCTTTGATGTGTATATCTCTGCCTCGCCTCAGGACAATTTGTGTCAATAAAAAGCATGGGGTCCTGAGATGAGGAGATCTTACTTCCTTTAGCTAGGCTCCTCTGACTTCCTATAATGCCTTTCAAAATTATGCTTCGTCTCTGAACTCTTTATTAAGTTACACACAGCCCTTCTCCAGATTGCTGAACCCTTCTAGATGCTGGAACAAGAACATTCACTTTTGAACAGAACATAAATTACTGGAGACTGAATTAATGAGTAGATTTGTATCCAGTCATCCATGATTGATGGACCAATCCTGTATTAGGTAAAATGGGATACCCCAAAAAATGAGTTGTAACAGGGAAATAAGGCATACCTTGTTTGCCAAATTGCAATACCCTTAAAGTTCTCATTAAGAATAAAGTATTCCTAGTTAAAAAGACAAGCTAAAATTAACTTTTCTTCTTTTTCCAGCAATTTAGAGAACAAGCTAATCTTAAAAGACACAGAAATGTACACAAAGCTAAGTAATATTAAATGGTAAGAGACCTAATCATAACTGCCATCTATTGAGTGTTGTACTTTATGTTATTCTATATTTTAATCCTCCAAGGCTCCTAAGAGGGAGTTCATATTATCTTCATTGTATATTTAAGGGAATGTGAGGTTTAAAGTGGTTACGTAACCTGTGCAATGTAACACAGCTGGCTAACTGTTCAAATCCAGGCAGTCTGAATCCAGACTAAATAATCCTCCTATATAATAAAAGACTAATATGCAAATCAACCAAATGGCGGAATGATCAGTCGCTATGATGCACATTGACCACCAGCGGGCAGATGCTCAATGCAGGAGCTGCCCCCTGGTGGTCAGTGCACTCCCATAGGGGGAGTGCTGCTCAGTCAGAAGTCGGGCTCATGGCTGGCAAGCACAGCAGTGGTGGTGGGAGCCTCTCTTGCCTCTGCTGCAGGCGGGCAGTAAGGAGTGAGGGGTCTCAGACTGAGAGCCCGGAATGTGAGAGGGATGTCTGACTGCTGGCTTAGGCCTGATCCCCGAGGGATCCCAGACTGCGTGAGGGCGCAGACCAGGCTGAGGGATCCTCTCCCCCAGTGCACAAATGTTGTGCACTGGGCCTCTAGTCTATTAATAATAAAAGGGTAATATACTAATTAGACCGGATATTATTCCGGATGTCCTTCTGGACAAAGCTGGGGCTGGAGCAAAGCCCGGGTCCTGGGTGCCAGTGCCAGCAGCAGGGGGAAGGAAGGCCTACTCTTGTACAAATTTCGTGCATCAGGCCTCTAGTATACTAGTATAATAAAAGCCTAGTATGCTAAGTGTCTGGTTGTCTGGTCATCGTTCAACTAATCAAAGCATAATATGCTAATGACATGCTAAGACTGCTTAACCGCTCACTGTGACATGCACTGGCCACCAGGGGCAGGTGCTCCGACTGATAGGTTAGCTTGCTGCTGGGGTCAGGCCGATTGGAACTGAGCAAAACTGGCCAAACATGCCCTGGAGCCCTCCCGCTGTCCCTCCCCAGTTGGCCAACCTCTGCGTCTCTCCCTGGCCCTGATCGTGCACCAGTGGGGTCCTTCGGCCTGGCCTGCACTGTCTGGCAATCCGGGAACCGCTGGGGGAATGTTGGAGAGCTGGTTTCAGCCTGATCCTGCAGACCGGGCTGAGGGACCCCACTGGTGCAAGAATTCATGCACTGGGCCTCTAGTAGTCAATGTTAGTACAGCTCCTTTCACAGAGAAGCCTAACCATTAACCAGTGCATGGAGAATATCTACCAATTTGCAAATGTATGTTTTAAATATATAAAGCTAGAGGTTGGTGAAAATTCAGTAAAAAGGGCAGGGTTTAAATATCTAGAGGAGCAAAAAGGGCCAAAGGAAGACTCTCTTTTTATGCCAGGGTTGGACTGAAAAGGCTTGAGAAGATTGCTTGCATTTTCCATGTATATGGGTCAACTCACAGGACTCATCTTTGGTCAGTTTCTTTTCTATAATGTGAAATAATCATTAATAATTATCTGGTAGTCTTGTTGTACAGGTTAAATGAGTGAAAATTTATATAGCACTTAGCACCATGCATGATATACCTGGTAAATACTATGTTAGCTTTGATTATTGTGATTTTTCTTGAAATAGTATTAGAGTTTATGTTTGCAATATGATCTAAATAGTAGCTCTCAACCTTGAGCATGTATCAGAGTTGTCTGAAAGGCTTGTAAAACACAGATCATGCCCTGGCTGGTGTGCTCAATGGTTAGAGCACTGGTTTGCTCCCTAGTCAAGGGCAGTACCTGGGTTGCAGGCTCCTCCCCAGCCCCTGTTTGGAGTGCATGTGGGAGGCAATGTTTCTCTCTCACACTTTCTGCCGCCCTCCTTCCTTCCATTCCACTCTCTCTCTAAAAAAAAAAACAACGGAAAAAATATCCTTGGGTGAGGATTAACAAAAAGCAAACAAACAAAACAGATCACTAGGCTCCACCCCCAGTGCTTCTGATTTAGTAGATCTGGAAAGGGTTCTGAAAATATGCATTTCTCACAAGTTCCCAGCTGGTGCTGTTAATGCTGGTCCTGGGACCACACTTTAGGAACCACTGGTCCAAAGAGTTGCTTAATGTATCTGATTGAGACACAGACCAAATATACCACATCAGGGTGAAGCAAGTGGAGATCTGAAGTAACTGTTTTTCTGGCATATATACCATATATAATATGTATATATGTATATATCATATAATACATAATATATACACATATGACATACAGAAGTGGGCAAAAGTAAGTTAATAATAATACAAGAATTAATAAATAATACAAGAATAAACTGTTATGTGTACTCACAACTATAAACCTACTTTTGCCCAACCCTGTATGTATGTGTGGGCGTGTGTGTGTGTGTGATTTGATTGACTAATTGTAAAGGAAGGAAGTGGATTTTACAATGAAAAGAAATTATGTAGCTTTGGGGAAATTGAGACAATTTGTTTAGAGGTGTATCTAATCTAAGCTATGTATTGTATAGGAGAGAAAACTGAGACCCAGAGAAGTGAAGCGACTAGCCCAAAGTTGCCCACCTGGAAGAATGTCATGCCTATATCAGACCTTAGGATTCTGCCTCCCAACCAAGTGTTCTTTCCAGCACTGTTTATTGGCAGTCTGTTTGAAAGAAAGAAACCACAGCCCCAGGGAGAAATGAAATCCATGTGGCATGTCTGAGAGTGGTGCTGTATGCTCACAAATACTCAGGACTCAGTGGGAAACTAGGAAAGGTCTTCCACATTTTCCTCATTATATGTATGCTATACATTACCGGGGAGAATTTTACATTGTATGTGTCTAGAGATCAGCCTCAGCAATCAGGTTAAAATGTAGGCCCTGTTTCTCTACACAGCCTCTACACAGTGTGTCCAGAATAACCCCTTTACGCAGATAGAGGTGCTGATCAGCATGGATATGACTGTTCTTAACTCTTGTTCCATTTTACAATTTGATGACAACGGACACAGAAACTATAATGTTGTATCCTGGACTGACCAAACAGATACCTCTGGATCTCACTCCAAAACGAAAAGACTTCTGCTTTTCAGTCAGTATCTTATCCTACACTCTTCCAAACCACTACGGGCATGAGAATTCTTCCTGGATTCTTGTCTCTTTTTTTAGAGTTGTCTCAGGTCTGGAGAAGTAGGGGGAGCTATAGAGAAACTTAATGGCTCCTGTAGTCAAATGAAGTATACTGTTGGGAAGAACTGGCTTTTTCTAAGTAAGAGTCTCCATTAGTGTTCTGATTGTTTGGAGTCTGTGAAAATGGGCTCTGGATTTGGAAGGGGGTATGTGTAGTGAATAATTCACCTCACCTAAAGAGAAGTCTGGCTTTTCCCTTAGACAGTGGGGGGTGATCTGTAGGCCCATGTTTCCTGCTTGATAGGAATGTCTTTGCTTTGGAGGCTTTGGCCACCTGGCAGTCTAACAGTGGGGTTTATGATGGGGCTTTGAACCACACTGTATCAGTTCCAAACGTTAGGAACTGAAGACTAAAAGCATTAGTCTGATCTCTGGGAAGGGCTGGAGAGGAAAGGTCAGTCATGTAGGACAGTGTGAGACTGATCTCCAATAAAAACTCTAGATACCAAAGTCTCTGTCCGGTAAGCTTCCCTAGTTGACAATACTCTGCACACTGTCATACACTGTGGCCGGGAGGAGGTAATGCTGTCCGATTCCATAGAGAGAGGATGACTGGACACTCTATTTGGACCCCTCTTGGACGCTGCCTTATGTATCTCTTCCCTTGGCTTATTTTTAGTTGTATCTTTACCCTATAATAACGCTGTAATTGTAAACATAGCACCTGTGAATTATTCTAGGAAATTAGCCAATGTGAGGGTGGTCAGGCGTCCCAAATTATAGACAGCTGGTCTGAAGTGAGGGTAGTTCTGGGGACTCCTGAACTTGAGGCTCATGTAGAAGTGAGTGCAGTCTTGTGGAGACTATTCCCATAGACTTTGCAGTTTGGCTTAACTCATTCTAGGTGATGGTGAATAAAAGGGTAATAAGAGGTGCGGTAAAAAGATTTGGGTATGATTCATAATGGAGAAGTCTATGAAACTGTTAAGTTTAGGGGTTTGTATTTTGGAAAGGTGAGTTTACAGAGGTCTTTCCTAGATAGGAGCTAAGAGATAAAAATCCTGGCAGGAAGAAAAATTAGACCCATTGCAGATCTGAATGAGAATCCTAATAGTGACCTTAGGAAAGTTACTAAAGTTAGTCAAATGGAACTAAATATAAGAGTTAAAAGTGACGATATATGTGGAAAACATTTTAAAACTATAATGTGTAAATGTTCTTTTACCGGTTCAGAAAAGTCTGAGAGTATCACAAACTGAATTATACTTGGAGAAGTTAAGGCTTTCTTGATATTTACCCCTTCAGAAATAATTATTCCCCTGAGTTTTTAAACTTGTCACATTTTATATTAAAAACTTTAACTTGATTTGCTGTTATTTTAAATATATTTTTCTATGTGTGCATCCCCAAGCAAGGGACTTTTATTTTATTAAGATATAATTGACATATAACATTATATTAGTTTCAGGTTTACACCATAAAGATGTGATATTTGTATATATTGTAAAATGATCACAATTGGTCACATTCATTGGCAGTTATAATTTTTTTCTTGTGATGAGAACTTTTAAGATTTACTCTCTTAGCAACTTTCAAATATTACAATACAATGTTATTTACTATAGTCACCAGGCTATATTCATTACATCCCCAGGACTTATTAGCAAGGGACTTTTAGGTCCCCCAAATTTGGGTGCTTAAGAAAAGCAGTTCACATATCTCAACTTCTCCCCCGAATTTCTTATTCCTCCTGAAAAGTGTTTGATTTGTGTCGTCCCCAATCCCCTACATCATGGATTCAAATTTCTCAGAACAATACATTTTAAAATGGTGCCTCGGGGTGAGGTGGCTTTCACCGAAGTAAAGGTTCCGGGTGAGGTGCGCGGTCTGGGAGTTTTTACCAGAGACACCCAGAGGTGAACTAGGCTTACGAGCGAGGTCTGAGGTCTGGGTTGGGAGCTCTCCGGGGTCAATCTGGGGGCAGCGCTCCCAGTGGGTGGGTGCGAGTGGATCTGCGCCGCCAGGCTCGCTGCGCAGTGTGTTAGCTGGGCCGGGCCGGGCCAGGAGGGGCCCAGCTCCCACCTGGATTAAGATGGTTCCGATGGGGTCCTGGTTTTTAGTCTCCTGAGCCATGGCTAGGGCCGGGGAGGGCTGGAGAGCCCGGAAACATTGGTGGAGGAGCTCGTTCCCTTGGCAACAGCACGCTCGGCCCGGGCTGTCCCACGCCGGGAGCGGAAGAGGGGGAGAGGGCGGAGTCAGGGCCGCCGGGCCAGTCAGAGAACGCGTCCTTCCAGTCGCGTCCCCCCCCACGCGCCGGCGGCCGTGGTGCAGCCCAAGGCGGAAGCGGCTGCTGGACACACCGGGCTCCCGAGTGCAGCTATGGCTGCGGGTGTCCCCTGTGCGCTTGTCACCAGCTGCTCCTCCACCTTCACTGGAGACCGGCTGGTCCAACGTGAGTAGCGAGGCTCCTGGGCCGACCTCGAAGCTCTCCAGGTCCCGGCGGGCAGCCAGCTCGCGGCCTCCCTTCGGCCTTTGCCCCGCCGCGGTCTGGGGCTCCTCCACTCTGCGCCGGCCCGAGGACCCCTAGACCCTGTTCGTGTGCCCAGTCCCCCCGGGTGTCTCTGCCCCCTCACTCGTCACTCTTAGGCCTGCCCGGCCCCTATCGCGTGTCTTCCAGCTTCTCCGGCCAAGGGGACAATCCCTGCCCAGCCCACGGGGTGTGGGGACCCTTTAGATTTAGAATCTAAAGTCTACATGAACCCGCAGGCGCTCTGGAGATTGTGCCGAGTTACGCGGGTGGAAGGGCAGGAATGGTGATTTTTGTTGCTATCCCTGCTCCTACGGCAGAGGTGGTTTCCCCTTGACTACCCCGTAATATAAGATTGCTAGCCTTGCGCCCCCCTCCAACCCTTATTCTGTAGCCACTCACTGCCTTGCTTTCCTCCTGAGGCGCAGGCGGTTCGCCGACCTTAGTTTTGGGGTATTGCTGGGCCTTCTTACCTTTCCTCTGGACCTTCACAGTGGCTGGCAAGCTAGGTAACTCCGAAAAGGGACCGTAGAGGAGACCAGTGTGGTAGAGAGGGCATAGGACGGGGGCATAGGCCCAGCGCTTCCACTAAGGACTCTGGGAAGTTGATTGTAACTCAAGACTCCTGTTTTCAGTGAGTGGCCTTGAGTCGAGTCGGAGCAGCGTTCTCAGCTGTAAGAAAGTGAGCACAGTTAACCTCTGCCCTTCAGTTTCCCATCTGTAACATGGTGGTGATTTTCGCCAGATCGTTGTGCTTACCCCAACATAGTAAGCATTGATAAATGGCAGATGTTCTTTCTCCAACCCTCAGTTTCCTGATCTTTAAACCAGGCACATGAACCTATCTCACAGGATTGAGGGACAAGTGATGTGATATGTGGAGCACTTTGTACACTGTAAAGCATCATACAACTACAGTTTTTTTTCCTGAACCTGTCAAATGACAGAATTAGGCAGCATGTCCCTCTAGCACAAATATTCTCTAACATCATTTATGACCACTTAAAGAGTTCCTTGAGAAGGTAAAGTTTAAGTATCGCATTTACTAAATGATAACTGCTCTAACTATTCCATTTTCTTACCTAAGCAGTGCTTCCTCCTATTTATTTCCTTTCTTTTTAAAAAATAGTTTTATAGAAGTAGTGCATACCCCTTAAGTAAGATTTAGCATATGGAGAAAAATATCACCCATGGTCTCATCACCTAAACACAAATACTGTTCTGTGCATTTCCTTCTAGAGTCAGACTTTTCCACATTGCATAGATTTTTTTAAAAAATTGTAATTACATTTCACTTATAATTTTTAACCTGATATTTTCGATATAATTTTAAAATATACTTTTATATTTTATATATAAAAATTTAAAATAGTTTATATATGTTTAAATATATAAAATAACATTTATATAAATATATAAAGTTATGGATTTATAATATACTTGATACATATGATTTATATAATAAATAGATATACTTACATAAAATACATTTTGTATATTTTATAATAACATTTTATATATAATTTTTATTCAGATATTTTACTCAGATATTTTATATTATGATGTAATTTAATATTACATCATAAATTAGTTTTCATTATATATTACATCTAGTGAACAAAGCAAAATTTGCTTAAGATTCTTGGTGTATTTAACATTCCAAAAGAATTACAGTTGACCCTTGAGCAACATGATTTTGAACTGTGTGGATTTACTTATATGCAGATTTTTTCAATAAATACATAAATTCATTTTCTCTTATGAATTTCTTAATAACTTTGTTTTCTTTATTGTAAGAATACAATATATAATACATGTAACATGCAAAATATGTGTTAATTGACTATTTGTTATTGGTCAACAATAAGCTTTTAGTAGTTAAGTTTTGGGGGAGTCAAAAGTTATATGTGTATTTTTGTTGGTGTGATGGGTGGGGGTAAGTGCCCCTTCCCTCCTTCCCCCCTTCCCCCCCTCCCCGTGTTGTTCAAGGTTCAACTATAAGCATTTGAGTTTCCATTACTGATATCTAAAATTCCTTTAAAACCAACCTCAGAAATATTTGTTAAGTATTCTGATGACTACAGTATTCCCTTCATGTGCTTTAAGGATCAGAATTGGGAGATGTGTTCACTTCCTTGAAAGAGCTGATACCTATGGTTGGTGAATAGTATCATTGTACCTTAAAGTATAATGGCATCATTGGGGGAAATTATATAAAATAATGCCTCTTTGAGAAATCAAAAGCTAACTTTTATGTTGGTTAAAATTAGATGACGTTTCCTTTGTGATTCTATTAATGTTATGTAGTGAAAAATAAGAGCAGTTAGTGAAGTGATTACTTGAGTAAGGGAAAGTGAACTGTGAAAGGGGGCTTTGTCATTTCTTCCCAGGTTCATGAGTAGGCTAAGAGTGGACAGCATTAGAATGCAGTATTTGCTGAGCACTTAATCTGTTTTGCTGAAATTAAAGATTGAATCAGATTAGTCACAAGTTGAGTCTAATTTTGGCATAAGAGATGGAGACTACCATAATGAATGACTTTTGTCAAGTGTCCAGTGACATTAGGCTATAGTATGATTTTGGGTTGAATCTGATCTACCTTTTTGGGAAGATTTGGTTTTATTCCATGCATCAGGAAGAGGAACCTTTAGAGTTTCTCTTTGCTTTGACAGCTGATCTATTTTACTGCTGTTAACCAACAATGGGAAATATTTCATAACCAAATAAGCAAGTTTGGTATAAATATTACATGAAATAAAAATCCATAGCCCTCTACTATGGGTAAAGTTCATATGTGGTGAAAGTGCATTTGTGAGAATTTTTTTTTTCTTCATTTTGTCACGCAAAGGCCTGTTTTACAGTATTCTGGGTGGAGGTCTGACATCAGATAAAGGGTGGCATTACAGATTACAGTGTAGACTTTTCAAGGGAAATGAAGGCTCAGGATGCTTGAGGGACTTGTGCAAGCTATATGAGGTGTGAGAGCAGGTGTCTGTACTCCAAGGCCACACATCTTTCCATCTCACACATATGAACATTTACTTGTATCCTAGAAAATTGTATTCTCACATTAATCACAGAGCTAGTCTCTGTGCCAGTTACTTAGCTAAAATGACGACTAAGGTGCTACTCCTGTCCTCAAGAGGGATGTAGTGAAAGTGTGTGCTCCACCTGTGAAAATATTAAAATATATACCTAAGTTTTAACATCTTACTCTGCTTTCCTAGAAGGAACTATAGATAGAAAAGTCCCTGGAGACTTGTTTGGTTTAAAGTATGTAATGCCAATTCAACAACCATAAGCCTCAGATTCTACATTTGAACATTTGGAGCAAAATTATTTTTTCAGTGAAGTGTGGGAATTTTGAGACCGTATAAACATATCAGGCATTTATGTGTATGTCAGTACTCTTCCCAAATACATTTTCACATTGTTTAATTTGTCTCATGTATCCCTGTGAAGTCACGCAGGCAGGCTCTCTCTGTTTTATAAATGAAGAAACCAAGGTTTGGAAATACTAGGTGACTTGCCAAAAGTGCTCAAGTAGCCAGTGCTGGAGCGTAAGTTCACATTCATGGTTTGTGTGCATGGAATGTGTGAATAAAATGAGGTGGAATTTCTTAGCAATCAGCACTATTTCAATTTACGGTGGTGGCATTGGTGTAAGAAATGACAGAGAAGATTAACCCTAAAAGAAGGTATTAAAATAATTACACAGGCAAAGCCAGCCATCATTTATGACATTGCTTGTTTGGGAAACCTTCGTTCTTCTGCAAGACTGGAGTTTGTTTCAAGGTCTGTCAGACTCCTATCTTACAAAAGGATCTTAAAGTAATTTAGTAAGGAGGACATTCTGATTTGAAAGATAAGGGGCTATTGTGTAGCTTAGCCAGCATTTTCTAGCAAGAGAATAGGAATAAGAGTTTGGGTCTTCTAATTTGTATTTTTCTGAAGCTGTTTAAGGTATTCTGATTGGAACCTTTTGGTTTATTCTGGGAATAACTAATTTCTGCTTAGGCAAAGTTGCTTACTTTGTTGTAGGGAGGACACTGCCTTTGATTGTATTATATTTCCATACTTCCAACTCTTCATTTTCTTTTTTAAATATTTTATTGATTTTTTTTTACAGAGAGGAAGGGAGAGGGATAGAGAATTAGAAATATCGATGAGAGGGAAACATTGATCAGCTGCCTCCTACACACCTCCTACTGGGGATGTGCCCACAGCCAAGTTACATGCCCTTGACCAGACTCGAACCTGGGACCCTTCAGTCCGCAGGCTGACGCTCTATCCACTGAGCCAAACTGGTCAGGGCTCTTTATTTTCTTCAAAGGAAGAAAGATTGGGCCAGCAAGATCTACCACAAGGACCTAGAGTTGTCATCACAGTGATTATGTAGATGATCAGATTAAAGCAGTGATTTCAGCTGGTAATGCGGGTGGGTGAACTTTGATTTGTTTTTAACCATGACATATTTTAAATTTTTCAATTAATATTAAAAGAAGGCTTAAGATTTTTATCTTTATTAAAGGAAGAATGTTAGGTCACCAACCTAAGGAGGAGGGAAAGATTAGGTACAAGTTCCTTATCTCCACCCAACAGGACTTAGAAAACATGTTTGTATTATCCTCCAGTGTGTGTGTGTGTATGTGTG